ACACCAAGTCAAGGGTTAAGATCCCCTTACCGGTCATCTTTTAAAAAAAAAAAAAATGGTTTGGAAAACTAATTAAAATTTGTACAGTAGAGTTTTATGTTATTTGCATCTAACTAAACTTTCTTCTTCCTAAAGTAAATAAAGCTAGAAAATAGTAAAATTGTTTAAAACTATTTTTAATTTTTTTTTTTTAACTTTCAGAATCTGAGTTGCAAGAACTCTCTGAAGTACTTGAACTACTTTCTGCTCCTGAACTAAAAACCCTGGCCAAGACCTTCCACTTGGCAAACCCCAACGGACAGAGACAGCAGCTGGTAGATGCCTTTCTCAAATTGGCCAGACAGCGTTCAGTGTGCACTTGGGGCAAGAATCAGCCTGGAATCGGTGCAGTGATTTTAAAAAGGTTTTGTTGGCTATTGTTACAGTAAAAACATTTAAAATGTTGATAGCACATATTAACTTATTATGATAGGTTGTATTCTTTTTTGAATTGTGATTGCTTATTTCAGTTGCAATTAGTTTGAGAGGCTGGGAGAACCTTAATTACAATTACCTGGATTCTGTCTTGGCTTATTATTCAAAATTCTTGCCATAAGGCCATACTAATTTCTAGGACCAAGAGGAATCAGTAGGCAGTAGAGCATGGCAGTAGGCTTGGGGAATTCTAGTATTTTATGATCCAAGAAAAATACAGTTTTAACTACTACTCTTCCAAGATTTTAGGGTAAACTATTCAGCCACATTTTTATTTTAGTAAACTTTCTGTTGAAGTGTAATCAGTTGATCTTAAGATTCAACTTTTCTTGAGTTTAAACATAACAATTTATCTAAAACTGTGGGTGGTTTTTTTGTCCTCAGGAAGACCTTGAATTATTTCAGTTTGGGGAAGATTACAGAAAATTTTAGAATTGATTTCGTTTGCTCATGTTATCCATAAAATGAAACTTTACCAACTTTAGTCTGGGAATCCACTATTTTGGAGGATTAAGTGAAATGATGCTTTTAAAAACACTTTAAAATGATATCATATGTCAAGAGCCATCTTCAAAGGGGAGATACTACGTATACTAACCTTTAATAAAACGTAGGTGTAATAAGGAAGACATCATTAACAAAAATTTCAATACCAACACTTGTAGAAAGTTTATATTTTATATTTTAAAAAAGTATTTTAATAAATTATGCATTGATAGTTAATTGACTTCAGAAGTATAAAATCCTCATCCCTATGGTATGTTAAATGTCTTCTAAGTCCTTTTGTTGTATTTCTTAAGTATTTGATGTTAATTTTATATGTAACAAGTAAACATTAAAATTAACATTTCTCTCTCAGTATAAGCACTTAGCATAGAACAGATATAATAAAAGAAATAAGATGAACATTTTTTATCACTGACTTTGGACTTGAAAATAAATTCTTGAGTTATTTTAGTTATGGTAAAAATCACTGTCCTTTAGGATTGTCCTTTATTTCATCACTTTGTAGAGCCCCACAGTGGAATTTCAGAGCATCCCTGACAGCCCCCAGTAGGGCAGTGCCTGGCTGTCTCACTCTATTGTTATTGTGAGGAAACAGGAAAAGGCACATTATTTACACTTCCTTAGCCCTAGTAGGGAGTTCCTGCTCAGTTTTCCATGATTAATGCTTCCTTCTACAGCCCGGAGGCTGTGTCCTCTGGTGGCATCCCTGGGGCTCTGCACGGAGGTGGAGGTGTGAGAGGAATCCCATGTCTGTCCCCTGACCTCTGTGATGGTGGCACACCTGGTTTGTAGCACTTCTTTTGGTGTAATAGCTTCTGCGATGGGAAGGTGTGAGGCCTTCCACTAGAGTAGTGCTTCTCTGCTGGGCGCTTCTGGCATCATTTGCATACATTTTGGGTTGTCACCATTGGGGGGGTGGTGCTAATGGCAAGTGGAGGCCAGGGATGCTGCAGAGCATCCTGTAATGCACGAGACAGCCCCCAACAACAAAGAATTATCCGGTTAAATTCAGTAATCTGATTGCATGTCAATAATGCTGAGGCTGAGAAGTCCTGCTATAGATGGTATTTAAGTTGCTAGAGTCCAGAGGGCCACTTGGAGTTGGATGTGATCCAGACCTCCAAACCTCGCAGACGTCCATGATTGAACTGACTTTACTCTAAGGTTACCCTGGAATGGAGATGTTCCTGGAACGCTTTGTACTTTAGAGAACAGCACCAAACCCTGGTGCACATTTGTACCACTTCCTTGTACACAAAATCTGATGCTTTACCAAGAGTCTTTTTTTTTTTTTTTTTTTTTTTTTTTT